CAGGAATGCAGCACAGGTATTCAGCTTCTCCAAAAACACAGGCCTTGTGTGCTTCTACCTCCTATCAAAACAGAGTGAAACTTAGAGGATTTTTTGGGGGGGATAAATTTGGCCTCGTTTTCTACACAGCCCCCTCCTGTATACATTGAAAACACTTACCCCAAAGAAGAATTAAAAAGACGACTCTGCAAATGCTGAGAGATATATACATACCGGGCACTTTATACATATTCTTACTTAACCAGTTTTAGTTCAGAATCTGGCCCCTCAAACAGTTATGGTGAAATCACCCCAAAAAGGCATTAAGGTACTTACCTACCTTTTTGGGTCTGGCCGTTAACTATTATTTTGTTATTCCTTTGACCATTATATACAAATCACTATTCGGGGTCCTTCTGTGTACATACATTTGATATTTCATCTTTTGGACTTAAACCCACATTAAATTATTATCAACATCTTTTAAGCTCCTCTTCAGTCCCATTAACTATTGTGAATGAACCACAGATAGGCAGAATCTTTACAGGGAGAATGTATTTTGCACTTTCACCTTTTCTTACACTAAAAGAAGAGTGCAGCTCACTCAGCAAGCCAGTCTAAATTGGACCTTCCAGGGTCGCTCTAAGTAATGTATCACTGCCCTTTTGATTAAGTGTACTTTCACACCATGGCTCCAATTTCAGCTCAAACCATCACTATTGCTATATAGTGTTTCACTGCCCAATATATTATCCAGGGCTCTTAACATGGCAAAAGATCCATAGTTCTCTAGTGTGCAAAAACTCACAGGAATTGTACACGCTCACTGATCAAGTTGCTATAGATGGACAATTTGAGAATGTCTCATGCACAGTCCACCACCTTTTCTCCTCCAACTATTCACATGTGGCTACCATAGAGATTAAGGGGAAGAATCAGAAACTGAACCACTTCATCCCAGATTACTTTTGATTGGGCAATGCTCAGACTGTTTAATGTTAGTGAGGGAAAAATAGGTTTAGAGTATTGCCTTGCTCAAGCCTAGCTGCAGTTCTCCGTCTTTTCAGGATTTGCAATCTAGAGAGCATGAAATCCAATGAAAAAGCTGTCATACAGAATCAGCGCCTACCAATTAGAAGTTTACAAGTCATCCTGATTTACTTTGAGAAGCTGATGTCTTCTTGGTAGCAAGTCATTCCCCCTGTCAGACCAGCAAATTTAGTAGTATAGACCATTTGGAAAAACAGAGCACTTTTTTCCAGATACAGTTGAACAATATAGCTTTATCCTGGTTCTTTTGCTTCACTTGTCCTCCTTAGCTTGGTATTTTTTTTACTACAGCCCTGTTCTCTAAGATAACTGTAACTTCTCTATCATTAACTTTTCCTGTTCTGAACAGTAGCTTAACATACTGATAATTTCTTAAGGGAGCGGATAGCTCAGGAGATGGGGCAATAAAAACAGTGAAAGATTAAAAAACCCTTCCCACCTCTTCAGTAGCTAAGAAGTCTCTGTTGTCAGACATAAGGTGAGGGAATTCTTTCTGCTCTGAAAGAAAAGAACATACCCTTCCTCCTTCCAGGTTACTGGAACAGGTGTTTCATGGGGAGGGGTGTACTTTAAGATGCACACCTCTCTGAGGAATTTCCTCCTGTTCAGCTTGGCTTTTGTAGCCCTGTTCTTAGGCACCTAACTTCCAGTGTATTTTATAGGAGTTTACGTATCTAAATTTACAGTGCTGGAATACCAAAATATTCATAATGCTTTAAAGGCACTACTTTAAGGACATTCCAGTTATTCTGTTTTTCATTTTTAGCATACTTTGCATACTTACTTTGCAGTGGACATGGATGCCAAAGGAAGAAGTCTTCAACAAAATTAGTGATGTGCTGGTATACAATGCACTACTTGGTTGTGTGTGTAATCTAATTTTTCCCTCAAAACCTGCTAAAAGGAAGCAGAAAGCAACCACCATTATGTATGGTTGTTCTTTTTTTGGAAATATGGATGACATTTTTATCTAACATTTCAAGGCAGATTTTGGATTTAGCTTAATATCTCTAATTAATTTTAAAGGAAGATACGTCTAAACTGCTTTAAGCATCTCAGTCAAAAAACATATTGCAATAGCATCCCTGACCAGTTATATTAGTGCTAGCTATTATCAAGTCTCCTCTGAAGAAGACTATTTTCAAATTTTGTTGAGGATTGCTCATTCAAACCACTACTGAAACGTATAATTTGGCTCTGTCTTTATACATGCAGTCCTCGACTTAAGACGTTTCAAGTTACAACAAACGGCACTTACAGCATTTATAAATTGACACCCTGTTTTTACTTTCTGATGTCAGTTTTGACTTTATGACGCTTGATCTGACATGACGCCATGTCAGCGAACAAATTCACTGCGTCACCCATCTCCCTGGAGAACATCTGTCCAAACTTCCTTGGACACTTTCTTTAAGAAAGCAGACAAGACTCCAGAAAAACCTGCAGCCAACACTCCTGAGAAGACTCCAGCTAAGGCCCTTCAAAAAGTCCAGCAACGTTACCTCAAAGAAATCCTTCCAAATCAATATGATTGCTATTTACAATATAAATACATTAATGTAGCTATATTACTCATCTATAATTGATGCAGTACAAAATTCTGGGTTATTTTTGGTGAAATATTAGGCCCTGGTTCAGGAACCAATCTCCCATTTATAATATTGTTCCTATGGGAAAATCGGTTTCGAGTTATGATGTTTCGACTTAAGACGCAGCTTTCAGGAACCAATTGTGTCGTAAGTGTGTTGTAAGGACTGGCTGTATTCCCTTACTGCAAAACCATAGCTGCTTCAATTGCACACGTTAAACATCATGGCTGCGTCCAGATGAGTGTGGCCATGAGGTGTGGGTGGCCCTGCAGACATCTGCGGTGCCACATAGCACATATTCAGTTATTCTTTGTGCTGCAAGGTAGCAGTGTGGGGTGGGGGGTTTTGACCCCAGGAGATCCTGGGGTAAAAAAAAACCTGTGCAAAACAGCAGAGGGGTGCATATGGGGGCAGCACGCACCACCCAAAATCAGAGCTTGGCCAGCTAAAGCTATGTTCCAGCCGCCAGCCAGGCTGCAAGTGGCAGAGTCGACACTGTTGCAGCCTCAGGAGGCCCCCAGGAGCTCAGGTAAGGCTGCTGGAGCCAGCCCAGTACTGACCCCAGCCTCCCCTACCCCACCCAGGGTTACCTACTGTGTGCTTGACAGTGCATTGCACAGGCATTCTCCAGGGACAAGTAGCAGCAGAACAAGGTGTGCTGCTGCTTCTTGTCCCAGGGGAAAAAAATGTCCACACTCATGTGGAGCAGCCCATAGTGATAAATATATTAACACAATGAAATATTTTCCTGCACTGGTGATCTTTAGCACTGGGACATTTTTTACTTAATATACTCTACTTTGATACACCAACTCGGGGCTTGTTCTTTTGTCTCTTTATGTATCAGCAAAACAGTTATAATTTAATACTTGTTTACATCACCTGCATCATGGCAACAATTTCTATGAAAGAATATGAATATATAAAAGCAGAGACTCCACAAGTTTTAGGCAAACTGAACTAGATTTCAGGTGTACTTGGAAGAAGCTTATAAAGAGAAAATGTTGTTTTTTCTTGAGCCAGGGGCTATCTATTTCTCTAAGGAGTATTATGTATTTTGAGAAAAACTTCTAAGCCTAAACAAACCTCAGAGATGATCAGGAATCCTGTTCACCCATGTCAGTCACATTGTCCAAGATGACCTGAAAATAACTTCTATTCAGACAATCTCCTGAATAAGAGAGATGGATATGTGCATGCCTAGTATTCTTTCCTTGTATTATTGTAGCAGACACTGAGCCTCACATACTGAAATCTATAGCCAAATTGTTATCAGCATCTATGGTAAATGTTTGTATCAGTTTGAGAGGCCCTAAACTGCAGATTGCTGAGACCATGCAGATAGCAGCCCAGAGGATTAGGATGCTATGCAGCGAGATAAAGTGGCTTCTGCGCATTCTGCACATGATGTTTCATCAGACCCCGGTGTAACATTCTGACAAAAATCCTCCAGGTGGTACCTTATGCTCCTACTTCTGTTCCCTTGCTGCTGTTCAAGAAAAATAACTTCTCAACCCAAAATCTGTCTTTATACAAGGAGACAGAGAAATAGACCATATCTTTGAAAGAGGCATGCCCCACAGTAACCTGCTACAATACAAAAAAGAAACTTCACTGTGACTTACCACCTTATACTTGACCTGAAAAGAATCATCATGACACAATTACAGTCCATACTTGATAAAGATCAGACCTGGAGAGAAATATTGCTGCTGCTGTCCCCCACTTACCTGTAACTCCTGGCTTTCAAGCAATCCCCTAATCACGCTCAATTTATAATCAGAAGCAAACTCCTGGATGTTCAAATGGGATACAGCTTTGCAAGGATGCAAAACCCATCAACATTCACCACAACACAACTTGTCAACACTCCTCATCAGAATTCACAGAATCTACATATGCCTATCCTCAAAATGTGGCATATCTTATCTAGTGCACCAAATGCCCTCAGGGAAACTATGCGAGTGAAACTAAATTAAAACTACACGCTGGAATAAATAAACACAGG